GGGGGGGGTCGCGCATCTGATGATGCGATTGCAAGAGGACTGATATTGATCGGGGTGCAGCTTGTCCCCGCCGGCCGACCGGCCGTGCTACGCTATGCGACGCTATGTGCTCTGTACCGCACTCGGGTCTCTGAGCGCCTTCCTCCCCGCATCCGCCGCGCGTCCGCGACGACACCGCGCACCCGGCCCCGTTCACAGCCTTGCGGCCCGCGGGATCGCATGCGTCAAGGTAAGGGCGGATAGGGAAACACGGCCATCTCCCACTATAATAATTGTGCCCCACCGAGATTCCATCAGAAACGCGAAAATAATTGTGCAGATGTAGGATGACCGAGAATGACCGAATTACTCGACTTAATGGGATGAATAATTGAGCGCGGGTCAAATCACCACGTTTGTACACTTTTTTATATTTTCGGCTTTTCCTGCAGGCGATGCCCAAGGCGTTCACCCTTTCTCTGCCCCTGCCCCAGGGCCCTGCCTCGCATTGTCCAGGACCGCGACCCCCTGCAGAGCTGCCGCATGCGTTTTCATTTCCGGAGGAAGCTTGTATCTCATGGTGGGGTCGGGGGATAGAGGGTGAGAGTGAGGGCGAGGCAGGGGGGGGGGGGGGGGGGGCACACAAACGGACCACGTCGGACATAAGGCAAAAACCCCACAAGAAAACAAGGCTTCCGATAAGTCTGTCTTCCGAGGTGGGTGTGGGGTGGGCATCTTTCCTCTATAGGCGATAACCTGAAAGAACGCGAAAAGGTGGTGGTGGTAAGGAGCGGGGGTAGGTCACTGGGGTGTCGTTTGCGCGCTTCTTACTGGTAGGCGGGGGAAGTAGGAAGAGGGAGAGGGAGGGCGGTACATGCACTATGCACCCCCCACAGAGGGTGACAGGGGAAGGAGTTAGGGCCTTTAAAGGGGTGGGGCGGGGGAGAGAGCAAAGCAGTGCCAACCCGTAACAGTTGACGTCAACGTCCCCCGCGTGGCTGTAACATCACCCCTCCTCCCAACGGCTCCCTGCAGCCCACCGCGGTCGGCATCCCCCGACCTGCCCCACCCAGCGGCTTGGAAACAGTCAGGCAAAACGATTTCTAAGAATTTTAAAGTCCAGAATTTTTTCTAAAAACATTAAATAATTCCAGAAAAAATGAAACAATTGTAACT